TCTTATATTTAGGTTATTTATTGCATATACACATATATTTCCCCAGAGGAGTTGAGGTTACTGCTAAACAGAGAAAAGGGATTTGCATTTTTACACATTGTATAACACGGCGAAAATATTTCCATCAAGATTACTTCTGATTCAATTTTTTCATAACATCTGTTTCCATTGAGCAAAAATAATATGCTGTCATGTATCTGGGACACACTTGTGCTTTCTATTTTCATATTAGCAGCACAAAACCTGTCATTGTTAACTCGATATAACTGCCACCAATGCCACGTCCAACACACGGACAGGCGTACTTGTACTCACGAATTCATATTACTCTACCCTTGGAATGTTCTGCAAAAATCAGCAATTTTCCTAGTTCATTTCAACCTGTTTTCAATCTTATACACTGGATACAAAGTGATGTTTTTACTCAGACAGACACAATAAAATGTTTACATAATGGAAAACAACATCTTCATTTTCTTCTGTGTTTTCCAAAGTTTCTGCTATGAGTAGGTATTATTCTTCTAAACAAAAATAAACATGACATATTTTTAAATAAAACTATAAATTTCTTTTCTTTTAAATTGAAAGGGGAAGTGATCATAAAAGAGAGACTTTCAGTAAAGTAGAAAAATAACACCAAAACTTAAACATCCTTTAACAAAATCTTCCCTGATTAAGATTTATATTTTTTAAAACAATTTTTTTAAAGATTTTATTTATTTATCTTTAGAAGGGAAGGGAAGGAGAGAGGGAGAGAAACATCAATGTATGGTTGCCTTTTGTGCGTCCCCTGCTGGGAACTGGCCTGCAGGGAACCAGCCTGCAACCCAGGCATGTGCCCTGACTGGGAATCGAACCGCGATTGTCTGGTTCGCAGGCCCGCGCTCAATCCACTGAGCTACACCAGCCAGGGCCAAGATCTATTTTTATTATATTTTATTACGCTATTAGAGTTGTCCCAATTTTCCACCTCTGCCCCACTCCACCCAGCACCTCCCACTCCCTCAGGCAATTCCCACACCATTGTTCATATCCACAGGTCATGCATGTATGTTCTTCTGCTACTCCGGCTCCTATACTGTACTTTACATCCCCATGGCTATTCTATAACTAACTACCTATTTGTACTTCTTAATCCCCTCACCTGCACACCCATTCCTCCACATTCCTCTCCCGTCTGGCAACTGTCAAAACATTCTCTGTATCCATGATTCTGTCTCTGTTCTTCTTGTTTACTTAATTTGTTTTTTTAGATTCAGTTGTCGATAAATATGTATTTATTGCCTTTTTATTGTTCAAAGTTTTTATCTTCTTTTTGTTACATAAGTCCCTTTAACATTTCACACAATAATAGTGTGGTGATGATGAACTCCTTTACTTTTTTTTTTTGTCTGGGAAGCTCTTTATCTGCCCTTCGATGCTAAATGATAGTTTTGCTGGGTAGAGCAATCTTGGCTGTAGGTCCTGTTTTTCATAACATTGAATATTTCTTACCAATCCCTTCTAGCCTGCAAAGTTTCTTTTGAGAAACCAGGCTGACAGTCTTATGGGAACTCCTCCGTAGGTAACTAACTTCTTTTCTTCTGCTGCTTCTAAGATTCTTTTTACCTTCAACCTTTGGCATTTTAAACATGATGTGTCTTGGAGTGGGCATCTTTGCATCCATCTTGTTTGGATCTCTGCTTCCTGGACTTGCATGCCTATTTTCTTCACCAAATTAGGGAAGTTTTCTTTCATTATTTTTTCAAAGAGATTTCCAATTTCTTGCTCTTTCTCTTCTTCTTTTGGCACTCCACTGATGTGAATGTTGGACCTCTTGTCCCAGAGGCTGCTTATACTTTCCTCATTTTGGGCGGGGGGAGGGGGCGGATCTATTTCCTTCTTGTGGTCCTGATTGGTTGTTTTTTTGGTTCCTTATGTTCCAAATCATTGATCTGATTCTCTGCTTCATCCACTCACTGTTGCTTCCCTACAAATTGTTCCTTATTTCAATTAGAGTACCCTTCATTTCTGACTGGATCTTTTTTATGTTGCTGAGGTCCTCACTAAGGTCCCTGAGCATACTTAAAACCAGTGTTTTGAACTCAACAGTGATAAATTGTTTATCTTCATTTTGATTAGTTCTTATTCTAGAGTTTTGATCTGTTCTTTCATTTGGGCCATGTTTTTTTTTTGTCTCCTTGTTTTGGCAGCCTCCCTGTGTTTGTTTCTATGTATTGGGTAGAGCTGCTTTGATTCGGTGTCTTGATGGTGTGGCCTAATGTGGTAGGTGTCCCATAGGGTCAGTGGAACAGACTCCTCTATCACCAAGCTGGGTTACTCGAGTTATGCCCCTTGTGTGGGCTGTGTACACCCTCCTCATGCAGTTGAGTCTTGGTCGTGGTTGAAAGATGAATGGAAGGGATTTACCCAGGCCCATCAGCTACAAAGATTGGCTATAACCACTTATCACCAACTTCTACCCTCCATGGAAGATCAGCTGTGCCAGGTCAAGGTGGTGGTGCTCTGATGTGGTCTGTAGCTGTCCACTGGGTGCACTGGCTCTAGGTTTCTCTGGTGGTGCAGGTCAAGGTCGGCCCCCACCTCTGTTTTGCTACCTTGCCTGAGCTATAAAGCAATCTGAGAAGGCAGCTACTTGTGCTGGGCTTGCAGATTCCCAGGTGAAGCCAACCTGTGAATCTGAGATGGCTGCTGTTAGTGCTGGGCCTGAAGCTCTTTGAGGCCAGTTGTTGATTGTTGGAGAGGATTTAGGAAGCTGTGTAGTATGAGCCAAGACTAGCCATACATAGGGAAGGCAGCTTGGGTGAACCCAGCCTGGATGGATCCCTAAGTTGGGTGGGACAGAGTCTCTGGGGTTCTCTAAGGCAGATCAAAGGCTGTTAAGCAGGTTGATGGAGGCTCAGATATTGTACCAGCTTGCCAGTTCTGTGGGGGGAAGGTCTAAAAAGTGACAATAGCCTCTGCTCACCTTGATGCAAGACACCTTAGTTCCTCCCCATATGCCACTGGTGCCTTTCAAGCTGCTCCCCCACTGCTGGAGCTCAGAGGGTGCTAGTCTGCATGTGTGAGTCTGTGTGTGGGTTCTTTAAGAGGAACTGCTTGGAGATCCAGAAGTTTCTTCCACTAATTCAATCCCTGCTGGCTTTTGCAGCCTGAAATTGTGGGGACTTTTCTTCCTGGCACTAGAACCCTGGGCTCGGGGGCCTGATGTGGGGCTGGGACTCCTTGCTTTTGATATCCTTCCCGAATTTTTATCCACAACACCTGGGTGAGAGACCAGCCTGTTCCTTGTCTGTGCCCCTGCTACCAGCCTGGATGAATGTGGTTTCTTTAATTCCTAATCGTCAGACTTCCATTCCACTAGATGTCTGATGGTTCTGAGTGATGGTTGTTCTATACTTTGGTTGTTATTCTGATGTGGTTGTGCAAAGAGGCGAGTCATGTCTTCCTACACCACCATCTTGACCAGAAGTCATACATTCACTCTTAACAGTCCTTCCTACTACTTCTTTTTAACAGCTACATACCCACTTTGTACATTATGATTTATAAGTTTTTATGTACTTTTTAAATATTTGTTTTTCTACATAAAATATACATATATGTGTATATGTATATATGTATAAATATGTATTTCTGACTATATATATCCTAGAAATTTCTAATTATACATACATAGTTAGAAATTCCTAACTATATTTTTTATTCCTTAAGTGTAAAGGAAGAAAAATATTCACACACTATCTTCTTGCCCTCTCCTTCAGACTGAAGGAAAGGGCAAGATCTGGAGGACCAGCTGTCCAAGACAGGCTTGACTCAAATGGGAATAAAAGTCATGCTGATAAAAGTAATAATAATTAAAATACTATCTACTATGTTCCAAAAGGCAACTAAGTACCTGGTGTTGGTTAGAAAAAACATTAACTAAGACAAACTTACTCTAAGCAGTATGTTCTCAAATCCCCAAAACCTTAAGATCAGAACAGTTCAGCCTTTCAAAACAATCCTAGCTGACTACATGCCCCTCTCTGTGACTTTTGGCCATCCTGACATCAGCTGGGAAGAGGGGCAGTAAGTTTTCAATTCCACGGCAGGCATTTGGTGCCTACCAAAAAGGAAAAACAGAACACAAGATGAAGTGGGAGATGACACATTCCAGCTAAGACTCCTTCTGTCTGGAGAAAGGAATGGAGACTCGAGCCTATAAAAATACAGAGCAGATGAGCTCAAGGAATATATTTCACACAGATTTTTAATGTTGAAGTTACTTCCAATCCCACTGACTTCTGTGACATAAGATGAATCTGGGATTTTCCAAAATTAGAAAAATATCCTTTGATTCGTTTTCCTGGTCATCGGTGTCTGTGTGGCCCTTCTGGGACAGACCAGAAATCGGCCACAAAGCTGCAGTGACTGGGAGGTGCTGCCTGTGGTGGGGCCCACACGGAGCCGGTTCACCTGCTGTGGCATCATCACAATGGCCCAGGTGGGCAAGCGTGGCTCCAGGGGGACAGGAGAGGTGGGCTTCAGGGCACTTGTTAGCCGCCTCGCAGCCAATGACACTGATAATCAGTGGTCCCTAGTTAGGCTGCTGTCTCTACTGGACCTTATTTAATACAGTAAGACTCAAAACAATGAGAACAAGTAGGATTTATTTCCCCCTCCCATCTCATATTTATCTGGGTTTTATTTATTCATTTCCCCTGGGCCTTTATATTTCTAGGCAGGAGAGCTTCAAGCTGTACTTTACATGAAGAGCACAATCAAAATATTTCTCTATTTCTTTTTCATTAGTTGATATTTTTAAACTTTAAAGTATTACTGCATATTCTAAGTATGAACCATTAGACTTTAGAGGGCATATTAGTTTGCTTTAAATGATCTTTTTAAGAAAAAAGTGTTCCTAAATAGTAGCTGTTCTTTTTGATATGGGGGCAGCTGGGAGTGAGGAGACACAGGGTGTAGGTTCACTGCTGTGCTGAACTTGGGAATTCACTCACGCGGTGCTGGACTGGCCTGGGCTTCCTTCTCTGTACATGGACCCGCAGGCTCCGAGGCCGCCCTTCCCGCTCTGTCTTCCTGCGCGTGCACCCGGAGGACATGCCATCTGATCCACTTCCATACTCGTTGGGGAAAGCATTGCTGGTATCCAGTCTCTGGGGAAAAGTTGGTGTCTAGCTGTGATCCCATGTTGGTGCTCAAAACTAACAAAGAGAAATACCTTAGTAAGCAATATTTCTTAACTCACCATTGGGAAAATCATGCATTTCCCCAAATCCTTCCCCACAGGTTAATCCCATTTCTTCAGAGTCTGTCCCCAGAACAGAATTGTCATACTATTGCTAACGCTTTTAACATACTGTAGCTATTGGTCCTCGTTTGAAGACTGAAATCTCTCGTTCTCTGTTACGTTGCAGTCGCGTAGGTTAGACTTTGTGGTCGGGCCCCTTGTAAAGACATATATTGCGAGGTGATTTTTTTAGTTGAAAGCATCGGCCTCTACCACTCTGAAAATCGAAGGCATCCTGTCTACACGTCATCGATAGTTCATTTCTACCAGTCGAGCCAAAGAAGTGACATGAAAGAAATAGATGGGATTAGTATAAAATGCCCAAGCACTTATTATTGTTTATATTTTATTCAAATTAGTGGGGCTAATATTCGTATGTATTTTATTTAATTGTTTTCTGCTCTATATGAATTATTTCATCCATTTTTAAAGGAGCCAGACAGACAGACATGCATGGAGAAAAGGAGGCACTTGTGTTTTTAAAAAAAAATATTTGTATGTGCCCAGGCTGGTGTAGCTCAGTGGATTGAGCCCCGGTCTGTGAACCAAAGGGTTACAGGTTCAATTCCCAGTCAGGGCACATGCCTGGGTTGCAGGCCACTTCCCAGCAGGGAATGCATGAGAGGCAACCATACATTGATATTTCTCTCCCTCTTTCCTTCCCTTCCCCTCTAAAAATAAATAAATAAGATCTTGGGGAAAAAAAGAAAAAATATTTGTGTGTATGTGCACTCATAAGTTACCAAAATATGAACATAAAATTTGGTTTTCAAAAAAATGAAAACTTTGAGTTTTTTAAAGAGAAAACAAGTTATCTTAGTAGCAAAACTTTTCCCCCTTAATTTACAGCTACTTGGATATCAACATAATTGGAAGTTTTTATCCAACTCTTTCATTTCTATTTTTGGAAATATGATTCTTTGTCCTAAAATGGGCCTCATTGTCCTTTTAGGCAAAGGTAGTCTATTCCTAACATGTTTCCATTTTTGCTAAGAAGAAAATAAATCTAAGGTTTTTCATTTCCTCTCTTTTCATGTTTTAATATTCCTTTTTATGAAGTACAGTGCTCCTGTTTATGAGATGCCTTCTTATTTTATCTGTTTAGACATTGTGATCAGTGTTCTGACTTTATTTGCATGTCTAATGATAGTCACTTATCCTCCTGATATTAATAATGTTTAGGTCCGTATCCTTTCTTTAGAGTCCTTTTCATCACCTGATCGAATGATGTTTAAGAAAACGGACAGAGGAGCAGAGCTCCGGGACCGTCCCCACACCCACCTGTCACTTCGTGACTTTCTGTCCACAGTCAGAACATCTCGGGGAAGCCGTGTAACACTGCCTTCAGCCCTTGGCTTCATCTGTCCCCTCGAAGGCAGAGGTTGCCGATGGGCAGCAAGTCTCAAAACAGCTCTTACCAATCATTTCTCTGGTGACTGTCATAGCCACTCAGTTTGAAAAGGCTGAAAGAAAGTGAGCAGCTGCCACAGGCATGTCCCGGGACTCTTCCTGATTTTTCCACCCACGCCATTAAGGCCACATGGTGGCCACCCAGGGGCTGGTGGGAAGGGCCTGGAGTCTGTGTTTGCATGAAGGGAGGGGAGAGAAGAGAGAGAGAGTATGGTTCAGAATGGCAAGAACGAGAGGGGCCAGCTAATAGCAGCACTTGACTTTGACATTCAGGTACTATTCTTTAAATATTATGTGGCACGTTCTTGCTTTGGGCATGTTAGCAACCTTATTGGCTATGAGTTAATCGATGAGAAAAGTGATTGCCCTGGCTTTGGCTTGTGGTGGTGGGTGTGAACCCCCCAGACACACCCTGGAAGGTTGGGTGCAGTGTGGACCAGTGAGACAGAACTTGCATCCGTTCTGAATGGTCAAGTCTTGACTGAACCAGAAGGAAATGAGCAGACAAGTCAAAACCCGAATAAAACCAGTGAAATTAATCCCTTCCAGTTGGGAATGAAGATGGCATTTCTACAAGTTAACTACGAACACTTTCTAATTATATTCTTTGACATTAGGTAGTTATAATTAGATGACTGGTTTTCTATATGTACATTTTTTGAATGCTTGCTATCATTTGTTGTATAACGTACAGCTGATTTTCATCAGCTTTTTGTTTTTATGGCCCTGATTCCACTTACTACCTCTCCTTTAGTAAGTAATTTCTTAATTACAAGTTGTCAAAAATGAGGAAAAAGATGGATATGTGTACATCGCAGTCCTGAGACTCGTTTCACACCGCTCAGTTGGCAGATTGTAACTTGCCTTGTTGTAAACCCTAATATGCTTCTAAGACGCTATAAATAATCATGACAAGATCTAATAAAAATAGATGTCATATCAGAAAACCACAGCAGAGTTTAAACTTAGTTTAGTAAAATCAACAACTTGCTCACAAGACTGATGAACTGCAGTTACATGTTTTTAACAAAAGCATTTCTAGCAACCAGATAAGCAAGTGTCTTCTTGACATAGATGGATGATAGCACATGTGCCAGAGCCTGTGGAAAATAGGAGCTGTCATCTAGAAAATGACAGAGCCATTTCGAGTCCCTCTAGATTAGCACTCCATCTTCGGCTGAGCAGATAGACTGTTAGCAGAAGGTCTATTGCCAGCAAATCAGAAGCAAGAGGGCAGAGCCCTATCTTTCCAAGACGACTAGAATCATCAGAGCCTCCGAGGCAGAGATTGCAGGTGATGACGTCCCCGCTTTCTGTGAGGCTTGTGGTACAAGAAACCAATCCAATAAATGTACTACCATGTAGGTCAGCAAAAATATGAATTAATGCGTTCATCATAGAGATTTACCAGTGTTTAAAAACAGTGTAAGCTAGCATAAAGAAATTGTTTTTAATGCTCTGCCCCTATTCAAAATTGCCCATATGTAGGTGCCTGATAATAACATCACTGGTTTCCTACTTATCTTTGTTTAAACAACTGAGTGTTCACAGATCTTTCTTTCTAGCCTTGTGTGACTCACTAGTACTGTCTGACTGACCAGCATCCAGGGAGGTAATTCTGAGGTTAAAAGAAATGTCCAGAGTACATGGAATCGAGCGAGACCGATTTTCAAATGCAGCTGGGGCTGCACTTCAGGAAAGGCTTCCCCACCTTGTCCTGGAGCCCTCGGAGGGCCACGTCTTTGTGGCTGTGCTTAATGGCCAAGGGTAATATGCCACCCTGCTTGGGGTCCTCTGGCAGAGACAGAGCACTGCTGTTCCCCTGATGGCGTGGCACCACATGGCACATTCTGCCTAACACTGACCTAGCGCCTCTGGGCACAGCGACCCTGTGCACTGCCAGCATCTCAGGTTTCCGAGGACCCAGCTCAGCCACCATGGGGGGGCAGCTCTGAACGGTGCAGTCAGGACGACTTTCCCATTGGACAGTTAGAGGCTCAACATTTTGCTGCAACTCAAAACAAAGCAAGACAAAACTGCCCTACACGCATTTTCCTTAATGGCTGGGGTTAGCAAAAGAGATAGAAATATGTTTAATAGTGTTTAGAAATTGAGGATGATAAAGAAACAAGTGATTCCTGTAGGGGGAAAATGACTGCCTTTCATGGCTGGATGGCTAACAAAGGCCTTTTAACTTTAACTTGGAGCCACCAGGGTGACTGTCTGCGCCTAATCCTGGCTCTCTGCAGTCTCCTGACACCCGTCAGGATGAGATTTGCTGCACAGGTTTTTCTAATGCACCTTATGAGCCAGATAAAATCCCATTATACTGATGAGGCTAACTTTGGAAAGAATTATTCTTCCATCTGCTTATTTTATCTGTAATGACCAGTTATCTGTCTCCCATGTGCTATGTCAAGAAGAAAACCCGTGTTTCTGTGGCCTTGTACTTTGATTTTGGGTCTGTCAGGTTATATCACACAAAAGCCTCCTTCCCCCCCCCCCGCCCCCACTCTCCTCTTTTTGTTAATGACATTCCTGGTGATGAGCATTTCTAAAGAATAGCTCTGGCTTCCCCAAGTCAGCTTGGTTTTGTCAGTTTTGAATGCAGGGCCTTGCTTTGCCATTTCCAAGGTCTCTGTGACCCCCTGGCTCACAGCTGGTGCTTCAGGCAGGCGTTCACACCATGAAGACGCTGGCACTGGACCCTGGACCGACTCTGTGGAAGATGCAGCATCTCTTTCACAATGTGCAGGGGAACACGCCTCTCGTTCCATTGCTGGGAAGGGCTGCATCATTCACAAGTGCTTCTTGACAAAAATATTCACAACAGCCCACCTCCTAAGGGAGGGGGACATTTGGGGGTTTGAACAGAAGAGACCTTAGCTTGTCAGAGTGATTTTAAGTGAACACTGCTTTCTACTATGGGTTTAAAATCTGGTACAGTTATAAATGTAAGAACCTTTTAATTGTATCATGGCAAACTGTGTCAGTAAGGATATATAAGTAGAGAGGTTGTTTTTTTTTAAAGAAATATGGTAATAGAATGAGGTTAATATTCTTTCCTAATATATGACGTGGTATTTCTTTGTTTTATTATATATTTTTAATGTCCAGGAATAGATTATAATGGGACCTCAAGATAATATTTTTAATGTTTAAAAAGCATTTTATCTATACCTGGGGAAATCAGAGAAAGAAAACTTTTCATGACCACTTAGAAAGAAAAAGTATTGGCCCTGCTAGGCAGATATGATATTAAGATTTGTATCTCTAGCTAAAATCAGCACAGGAAGTTAGCAGATAAGTCTGAAAATGGAAATAGCATATCATCATGCATAATAAGAACTAAGGCTTTGAAGTGAAATTTTCTTTCCTTTGTGGTTAAATTCTTTTTTCAGATTTTGTGGTTTCATTTTGTGGTACTTGTTTAACAATGTCCTAGGTTGGAATTTATTCAAAGGAAAAAGCCTCCTTCAAATATTACTATAGCCTGAATCTAAACATGCCGAATGAGGCAGAGAAGTAGTAGATTAGATGCCAAAAAAATGGCTTTAACCTCAATTATCCAGACAGTATCTGAAGAACCACTATGCATGGCTGAACAGCGTGTAATCTAGTTGTCTCCAACAGAACTGCCCTCCTCCAGCTAGGAAAACCATCCTTACAGGTTACACTGTTTTCCCTTTGCAACTGAGTAAGATCCCAGGGTTACAAACAGATTTGCCCAGCATCTTACAGGTGAGGAGGTGAACATCATACATCCATATTTCTTGGGTAATTACACTTATTATTGATGTTATGTATAACAGAAAATGAGTGTTTTCCATACCACATTGGTGAACACTGAGAGTTTTTCGGTGAAAAAATAGTTATTTTGTGTAGTTATCTATAACTACTAGATACCTGTTTCCATATCACCACACCTGAAACTAGACCAAAACCAGCCTTTAAAAGTATCATCGGAGGTGCTGGGTGGAGGGAGGGGAAATGCAGAGTCATTGGATGGGTGAAGTTTCAGTTTCCCAGGAGTGAATGGTCTGCAGATTGTTGTGCAACAATGTAAACATATTTATCATCAGTGAACTCTACACTTAAAATGGTTCAGATGGTAAATTTCATGTTACTTTTTTACCACAATTAAATTTTAAATGTTTTAAAATATAATCAGGAGGAATAATCTCCTCTGGCTCCAGGAAAATGGGCGAGGTGAGATGGCACCATGTCCACCTGACGCTTTCAGTCATTAATGAAGCATTTACAGAGAATATCAGTAGAGCTGCGATAGGGGTCAAAGAAAACAAAAAGCAAAGGGAAGATCAGTGGCTTTGTTTCCTTGAATGATCTTGCTTCATGCAAGATACCAGAAATCACCTCTCAGAAAAACCTCAAAAAGTGTGGCTGGGCAACCCTTGAAAAACCCAGTTCTCAAACCAGGCTGATTGACCCTGGACACTGTCGTTGCTTAGACACCGAGAACAAAGCCAGCTTTCAATGTGTCAGATACACAACAGGGAAAAGAAACTCCTGGGATTCAAGTTAAGGAGAGGAGGATAAGATTCGTTGATCCAGAACTGGGTGCTTTACGTGTAATATTTCACTTAATCTTGTGAAGTACTATTGTCCCAATATTCCCAAGGGAAAAATTGGGTCTGAGAGGTTATGGACTTTGCCCTATTGTGCCTGTAGAGCGTATATCATTGGAAATGGAACTCCACTCCAATGAGTCTGATTTTCAGTTTAATCCTAATGTTTCTTACTCCATCTTGGACAGTCAAAGTGAAACTGAAGATGAGAGGCTTAACTAGTTTCTCCTGTCAGCACTCACACTCTGGGACGATACTCATACTCCCTGACTCTCTGCGGGCCCTGGTGCCTGGGGACCTAGGCAGCCTTCCTGAGTGACCGCCTACCCCTCACTGATCTGCAGTATCCAGCCTCCCAGTAACTGACCAGGAATAGGCCGATCCTTGGACATAGACGCATGAATGAGATTCGGCCCCTGCCCTGGGAAAGGGTGACAGGAAATACATATGCTAAGTGCCTGCCAGAGAGGAGGTATTTACATGGGCTCATGAGGGGATTCAAAAGCAAAATGAAAGAAGGACTTGGTGGGGAAGGACTGGATGGCATATAGTATCTACAACCAAAATCAGTGAGAATGACAGGGTAGGCTCCATGTCTAAGTCCAAGGCTCTGCCTCAAGTCCCCTGCTGCTTTCTGAGGACACCATTCCTGAAATTATAGGGGAGTTCAGCAACACCTAACACGTTAATGTTTTCCTTATCACTTTAGGCAACTGACCAAGTGACAGATTGAGAATATTTTATATTTTATTATCTACGACTAAATATGGTCCTTAATTGGAAACCAGATGTGTATATGGAGAGTGGGTTGTGTTAAGAGTGAAATTGTGGGCTAAAACTCTATTATTTGGGAAATTCAAATTTTCTTTCAAAATCAAGTTATCTAAACAACAAAACAAACAAGCAAGCAGAATAAAAACAAAGACACTGAAATAGAGAACAAGGGGACAGTGACCAGAGGGGAGTGGGAAGGGAAGTTAAGGGGAAAAAGGGGGAGGGATTTGGAGGAACAAATAGGAAGAACACAGGGATGAGAACTAAGGGGGGTGGAAATAGGAGGGAGGTGGGGAGCATGGGGCGGGGAGGATTGGGATGGGACAAATAGACAAAAAACTGTACTTGAAAAATAACTAAATAAAATTATTTAAAAAAAAATTAACTTACCTCTTCCCATACATATAGTAAATGCATAGAGTGCCAGACTAAGCTTCATCCTTTCATTGGTTTTCATGAATTGGAATTTCATCTTCCAATTTTGTATTGTTTTATTTATAACTTTATATATAATAATATGTATCATATTTACATAATTTTTACCCAAAAGGATCACCCCAAACACTCCAAAATGTGGTCTCTTGGCCATACTTGGGAAAGCAATTTTTAAGCTCCTGGTGTTCCCTCTAACTTTCTTTGGATGTCTTGGATTTGATGTTCCCCAAAGTTACAATAGATACACTAAAAAATAACATGCCAAATATGGAGTATTGCTGTAGAGAGCCAGGTGAAAGAAAGCACTGTAAGACACCAGTGGATGACGCTGCGTTACTCTCAGGAAAAAGCATAAAAAATAACCAGGAGAAAGCTGGAGAGATTCACAAACTGCAAGTAGGTCCATTAAACTTCTTTAATGGTATTTCTAACGTGCTGTTTAAAGAATGGCAGCAGTTATGGGCAAATGTAGCGTACCCCATTTTACTCATTGTTATTGGGTGTTAAAAGGAAACTACACTTATGGGACCTGTGGCTATCACATTTATTCTCTCACAACAAAGCCTCCTCAGCATTGTTTGTTATCCAGGAAACTTCACAGCCTTAGAGGACCCAGACTTCAAAGTCAAGGAAGTGGATTTGGGGCATGGGAGCCTGGGGGCACCGAGGCAACTATCGGTCTGCATAACTCAATTTTTTTTTCAGTCATTTGCTTACTACAGATGGCAAACCAGAATTCTATGTCTATACATCATTTCAAAAGCCCATATATTCATTTTTAAAGCTATATAGATACTGACTTAAGATTTCACAAAAAGTTTAGCTTACCAGACAAAAAAACACTGTTCTGTCGGTTGCTGATGGAAGGAGCCTTCCTTTGCTAAACATTGTGCAGCACCAGCAGCGTGACCCTGGGGTCATGGGACAACACTAGCGTGCTCAGGCTCTCAGGGGCTTTTTCTTTTTTTTAAAGTGGCACCTGCTGTGAGGCTCTCAGAATAAATACAGAGCCTGCAGCAAATCACAGATGTTTTATGCACTACAAACACTGACAGGAAGTAATCACTAAAAGAGACAGAAACAGTGGTAGGTAGGAGCCTGGAAGAAAAAATAAAAACCCTTGTATCTTTTGAGGGAGGCTTGGGAGAATGGATTTAAGAGTGTGAGGAGTTTTGCTATGCGCCGCATTCTGACCCAGATTCCAACCCCGGGCCAGGTGTGAGGGCACAGGGCTTCTCAGGAAGAAGGGGCGTCTTCCATTAAGACTAATGGAAGAGTATGCTCGAAAATCCCTCTATATTGTTTTGCGTGGGTTGAAGTGCTAAACTTTTTTAGTCGTTCTTGTTGATTCTATAAAACAAATACCCCATGATTTTTTTAAAGTTTAAAAGTAAATGTTTTCATTTTGGTGCAAACATTTCCTATTAGCAGGGACCAGTTCCCTTTATACTTCTGGGGGGGCTGCCCCCACCACCTCAAGGAGGTTCTTTCCGCTGTCCTGAACATTGGATGTGGACCCTCAAAAAGGAATGTCATGCTTGAGTTTATCTTGTTTTCACACCAGGTTATTTTCAGTGTATTTCAAGACCGTTTAATAACATTATTTCATTGACTTCCAAGTAAGTGGTAACAAAGAAAATATTTGTCTACTCTACATTTTCCCAACAGTTTCTGGACCTCATTTCAAAGAGATTCATGTTGCCTGAATGTTAATGTGCTTTCTTTCTTCCAGAGAAACCAAAGCGTGTTATTTGTTTTCGCAAGAGTGTTTATAGTTAACACATTTACATTTGAGATCACATCTGCTCCACTCCTTAAACGACTTCTCTAATAAGTATTTTTTAGCTTATAATCACATTAACAAGCTACCCCTAACGAGTCCTTCAGAGCCCTGTTTTTAAATTTTTATTTTAATATTTGACAGTTTCTTTGTAGAAAGGAAAGAACATTGGAAATAATATTGGATGTTTCGCCAAGTCTGTCAAATGAGTAGCACCTCCACTTTCTCAGCTCTGTCTCATTAAAATTGTATTCTAATTCTGTCTTAACTGGGTCTCTGTGCTTCATAAGTCATTGCCTGCTCATTACTTGTAGTCTGGGAGATGGAATTTATTCAAGCCCGATAGCTGAGATAAAGAATTGAAAGGCAGGCAGCTGGGAGAAATAAAATTAGCCTCTTTTAGTGCTTTTTCCGGCTGGATTTTTGCACAGCCACCCATTAGGCCACGTGTCCATTTGCATGTGTGACACCCTCTATGTTTGGTTTTTAGATTTTTGTTAGGATGATATTCTTAAAAAAAATAAAGAGATTCTCCTTTTTTTTTTGTCTTAGCACTGAAATGCCACTGAGCATCTGAATTTTCTCTAATTATAGAATGATTAAAATTGCCCAACAAAGATTAATTGTTTCATTGTGTTACAATTCATATTGGTGTCTCCTTACAGAAAAGAACATTAGTCACAAAGAGTAAATGCTATACCCTCAGACTGGTTTGAGGGGAAATGGATTTAGAACATAATGTGACTTACAAGCAATTTCACATGGAATCCAGCAGGGACCTGTGCTTTCTAACCTAACCACTCCATCTCCAGCTTTAAATGTCAAAAGAATACACTGTGGAATTCCTAATTTGGAATAGGGAGGAGTTTTTGAAGGAAATTGACTAAAAGCATGGTACCTTCCATTACAAAATTGAGTTGTTAAGAAATGATAGGGTCCTATTACGAAACTTGGTATTTTTGACTTCTCTGATCATGAACAGATATTGTCATTAGCTCGCTAATGAAACTGACTGCAACAACAAGCAGTAATTTAGAAATATATTCTAAGTTAGTTTCAATATGAAAGCAAAGTCTTTGTTGATCTGTGTATGTAATTAATGTCATGTCATGAATCAGCTGAGGGATTTCTGCATAGAAATATATGCATTGATACGAAAGAAAAAGGATTTATTTACCCTCCAATTCTGGAAGTAAAGGTGGATATGTACTTAAATATAAGTACTGATGCATTTTTTCCTGATTACTCAAAGAAAATATAGGGAGGACAACACATTTCTTAGAAACATGATGCTTAGATTTAGGTTCAGTTTAAGCATTTGTACATACAGTACAGTGTGTATACCAAAGCTGGAAATGTTGCCAATAGTATATGTATAGAATTAAATTTAAATAGGCAGCATCTGTCAAAGTATTATGTAAGATGTGTGGACAGATTTGTCTGGTCCACTGTAGCACTTAACTGCAAAATATTTTATGTGACTAATAAACTTCACTGATAAGCAGTAGACTAGATTCATAAACAACTTTGTCTTTCATGTAGGTGTATTTTGGTAACAGTAGCTAGATTGGAAAGGTGGACTCTCGAGAGCATTTAGCATGGTGGATTTTTATTTTCTTTTTGTATCTTTCTCAGTGTGGTATTTGGTTCATTGTCTTTGTCATGCTTGTACCTATTAACATTTTGTAAACCATCTAGCAAAGCAGGATGTAAAGTTATAATCTAGGACCAAACTAGAAATCAATAGGCCACACGAGGCTAAGCCATGGCACGATATAAGAGATTCTGCCTAAAGGATTACATAATAGATAAGTATGCAATATAAATATATGGAGGGACCCCCCCAAAAAAAACAGAATTATATTCTGGAAGGCAGGCCCCTTGTACTATAGGCTTCCCCTGCTAGGGGAGAGTTCTAGGAACCCATCTGTATCAGTGTACCAGCTGGCATTGTTGTGAGAGGCTGAGTTTGGCTTCAGTGAATTTTTTTGACAACTCAGTGAATGCATTTGCTCGTTTCATGATGGGTAATGTACAAGTGCACCAGCCCACATCTTGAAGAGTGTTCAGAACTTTTTAACCAAAAACATCATGACCCCTGTGTCCTACCCACTCTATTCACCTGATCTTGGCCCCAGCGACTTTTTCTTGTTTCCCCAAATGAAAAAGTCCTCAAAAAGAAACATTTTGCTGATGCAGAAGAGGTGAAACAAAAAATGGCAGAAGCACGAAAAGGCATCAAATCAATGAATTCAAAAACCTGTGGAAAAATAATGGAAAAATAATGGCAACAACTTCCACCAAGATGGAGGCATAGGAGCTTCCTCCATCATTGGTAAAGGAGGCACCAAGATGGAGGAAGCACTGTGCCTTCTCACACAACCAAGTTTTAAAAAAACAAAGTTTTAGCAACAAAAATGCAGCCAAACCACAGAAAATTGAACTATACGGAAGTCTGACAACAACGAACCCTTCAGCCAAACCAGTAAGAGGGGCAGAGCCAGCAGCAGAGCAGGGTCAGGCAGGAAAGATCCACCAGACCAACCCGGGTGCGCGACCCAGGTGCACCAGCAGCCATGGGTGGATCCCAGGTGTGGAGTAGTGGGTGGACCCACTGAGGGCGCAAGGCAGTGGACTCACTGAGGGCTGACCACGGTCACGCATTCGAGCACAGATAAACCAGTGAGGGAGCGAGCAGTGAGACGGACCGCGCAGGCCCCAGCAGGGGATGGGGGGAAAGCAGCAGAGGGGACGGCCATTGTCCCTCTCTGACCACGCCCCCACACACAGTATCACAAACCAACAACCTGGGTGGCCCCGCCCTGGTGAACAACTAAGGCTCCGCTCCTCATATGTAACAGGCATGAACAGATCAAAACATGGCTCAAGAACACTCAGAACCCCAGAGCCGATAAATCTAAGCAATGAAGAACTAGCTAAACTTTCAGATGCACAGTTCAAAACACTGGTGATCAGGATGCTCACAGAACTGGTTGATTTTAGTCACAAATTAGGGGAACATATGAAGGCTAAACTAATTGAAATGAATGGAAATGCACAGGAAACCAATAGTAATGGAAAGGAAACTGGGTCTCAAATCAAAGGAGTGGACCAGAAGGAGGGAAAAAAATGACCAAACAGAAAAGGATGAAGAAACAAGAATTCAAAAAAAGGAGGAGAGGCTTAGAAACCTTCAGGACATCTTTAAACGTTCCAACATCCGAATTATAGGGGTACCAGAAGGGGAAGAGGAACAGCCACAAGTGGAAAACTTATTTGAACAAATAAAATAAAGGACAACTTCTTCAATCTGCCAAAGGAAATAGACTTCCAGAAAATCCAGGAAGCTCAGAGAGTCCCAAAGAATTTGGACCCAAGAAGGAACACACCAAGGCACATCATCATTATATTAGCCAAGATTCAAATGAAGGAGAGAATCCTAGAAGCAGCAAGAGATAAGGGGACAGTCACCTACGAAGGAGTTCCCATCAGACTGTCAGCTGATTTCTCAAAAGAGACCTTACAGGCAAGAAGGGGCTGGAAAGAAGTATTCAAAGTCATGAAATCCAAAGACCTACATCCAAGATGTAGGTCTATCCAGCAAAGCTTTCATTTAGAATGGAAGGACAGATAAAGTTCTCTCAGATAAGATCAAATTCAAGGAGTTCATCATCACCAAGCCCTTATTATATGAAATGTTAAAGGGACTTACCTAAGAAAAAGAAGATAAAAAAGATGAACAGTGAAAGGACAGCAAACTCACAGTTAGTAAGAACCACACCTAAAACAAAAGCAAACTAAGAGGACAGCTAGATCAGGAGCAGAACCATAGAAATTAAGATCACGTGGAGGGTTAGCAACAGGGGAGTGGGAGGAGGTGAAGGGGGGAGAAGGTACGGAAAATAAGTAGCATAGATGGTAGGTAGGAAATAGGGGGGAGGGCAAGAATAGTAGGGGAAATACAGAATCTAAAGAACTTGAGACACATGGTCATAAACTAAAGGGGGAAATGGTGGGGTAGGGGGTGTGCAGGGTGGAGGGGAATGAAGGGGGGAAATAGAACAACTGTAATGTCATAATCAATAAAATATATTTAAAAATAAATAAAT